AACATTAAACGATTAATGTATCACGGAGCTTATCGTTATATTAATTATTCAATTTTGCGATTCGATCGTTTTACAGCACGTTCTTAATCCAAATTATATCTAAATTATCGAAAAGTCAAATGATATAGTATCATGGACAAAATATATTTGACTCTATGTGTTGTTAAAGAACTAATTATTGTCCGTAAAGATTGTAACAAAACGATAATTTATAATTTGTTTTTCTATCATTTAAATTCTTATTTGATTAAATGAATGAAATATGCGATTCGAGATCTATCGTCGCGATATATATATATGTAGTTACATACGGGTATTATTTATAAATGTTAATTAAGTATTAATTATATTATAATAATAAATAATTTCTCAATATTGGTCACGATCGCGTTTAGCAAAGGAATTTGTCAGAGCGTCTCGTACTACTACCTTACTGATCGAGTGTCTCCGTATAAATAATAAGAAGACCGTGATACGTAAACAATAGCGCGCTAATGTTTACGCCGCCAAGACCGAACACCTTGTTATTGATAATACGTTGCCGAAATATTTTACGTACTATGACGTACATACAAGCGGAATATTAAATTATACAAGAGTATTTTAAATTATAGATCAATTATTTAATAAACGATTAATATATCACGAAATTTATCGTTATATTAATTACTCAGATTCTGCGATTTGACTATTTTATTGCGCCTTCTAAATCCGAATCATATTTAGATCGTCGAAAAGTCGAACAATAAAGTATTGGACAAAATATATTTAATTTTAAGTATTAAAAAAAAAAAATTGTTGCCAAGAGAGAGAGAGAGAGAGAATTAATTATTAATAGTATCAAATTATTTCCCGATATTTATCGCGATCGCATTTGGAAGAGAAATTTGACGGAGCGTCTCGAACTATTACAATCCAATTCAAGTGTCGCCGTGCGAATGATAACAAGACCGTAACACATAAACAATAGCGCGCTGTTGTTTACATCGCTAAGGCCGCATACCATATTATGATGTATATACAAGCGGAATATTAAATTATACAAATATTTTAAATTATAGATCAATTATTTAATAAACGATTAATATATCACAGAGCTTAATATCGTTATGTTAATTACTCGGATCTGCAATTCGATTATTTTATTGCGCGTTCTCAATCCGAATCACATTTAAATTGTCAAAAAGTCAAACGATAAAGCATGAGACAAAATACCTTTACTCTAAGTATCGATAGAAAAATAGTTATTATTCGTAAGGATCATAACAAAACAATAATTCATAATTTAGATTTCTGTCACTTCGATTCTTACTTTAAGAGAGATTCTTACTTGTATTTTATCAGTTTGAGAATCATTTTAATGGATTAATGAGATTTTTGCGATTAAAATGACATCAAACATAACATAAATCGGATAATTTTTAACTAAACTAATAATAAAAATTTTGATGACATATTTAACTAAAAATTATCCGGTTTATGTCGTGTTTGATATCATTTTAATCGCAAAAAATCATTAATCCATTAAAATTATTTTCAAAATGCAAATATAAAAGTTTTTTTTCTATAGTAATATGACACATATATACTCGTGAAATACTATATAATAAAGGAATAAACCACTCGCGTATAAGAGACTTCGAAACTCTTTGACGATACGTCATCTCGCTTGCACTTTACTCGCGTTTTCGCTTTCGCTTTCGATGACATCGGAGACCCTTACTTATCTATAATAATTTATAATATTTAAAAATCTTGTGTAATAAAAACTAAAACATTTTTGTTTTATTTTAGAAAGTAATTTTTTGAAAATAATTTTAATGGATTAATGAGACTTTAATTTAAATGACATCAAAAACATGATATAATTTGGATAATTTTTACTTAGATAAAGAAAAAAATATTTTATCTAATTTTTAAATTTATGTCTAATTAAAATTTATCCAAATAATGTTGGGTTTGGTGAACAAATAAGGGCGAAGGATTTTGTTCTTCGAGCGAAAATAGTGTTAAGCGAAGCATATCTATTATCATTATGTTTATTTTCAAAAAACTTGTATAGTATTAATTATATCTTATCGTTTTAATTATTTAT